AAGCGTCTGTCAGCGGTAGAATGGATACTAACCGGTGATATAGCCGTGCGTGGAGAGCTCAACAGCAGCGAGGGTGCGCAGTCTGACTGCAGGAACAGCACGGATTAGTCTTACAAATACGCCGAGTTAGTGAAGCCAGACGCGAAAGAATATGTACTGGGTGTTTCATTTTTAGAAAAACTTGAAATGCCAGACGAACCTCCGATACCGGCTTATTTGAGATAGTCATGATCTTGGTATAGATATGTGTACACACACAAGCACACGCACGTTCGGGGAGATGGGGAGTGGCAGAAAGAGGACCTGGGGGTGCTCGCAGGGTGCTGGCCACATTGTTTCTTGATCTGAATGCTGGTTCCCTATTCATGGAGTAGGGAGAATATTACTGCCTATCTCACAGGAGTGTTCGTGTTAAATGTGAGAATCCAGGGCAGGCAGTAATGGTTCAGTTAATGTTAACTGTTGTTGTTATGAAGAAGCCTTCCAGGGAAGGAGCAGTCACTGTCTGGGGAGGCTGCTGGGGAGAAGGGAGCTCTGGACTATTTCATAGGTCCAGGATCCTGGATCCTGCCTTGTCCTTTGTCCCCTGTACTTGGCGACCCCTGGTCGCTTGTCTGACTCCTCCGCAGAGCTCCCTGTGGGCATTCAAGGCCTCGGTGTTACATTCAAGGCCTGCGTCTTCTTTCTCTTCTCGTGACCCCTGGCACCTGCCCGCTGCCGGTAGTTCGGCTTAGGTGCTCCTGCTTCTGCCCTCGCTCACGTCCCCTTCTCCTGGGCCAGCCTTCCCTCTCCTTCTTAACCTTGTAAAAACTTCCTTTACTATCCCCAGGGCCATCCGCATAGTGGGTGCTTCATAAAAATGTGTTGTGCTCAGAGCCCAGATCTGCAGCACGTGGGCATGGCCCAGTGCTGGGGCTGAGTCCGGCTGAGCTAAGTTTCTATTCAGGGCTCTCATTTTCCTGGTGGGCCTGGCATGTCAAGGGCCATAGTTTCCTTACCACTCTGGAGCCACCGGGCTGCTGGGTAAAACCGTCTGGCCAAGAGACACAGGCTTTCATTTTTCAGAAAGGAAACCCTTCCCAACTGGTGGAAAATAAGCTTTTGCTTAGTGACTAATAACATAAACACAGACAAGATTTCTGGGCTTATAAATAACCAGTTGTAAAAGTGCCCAAGGGAAGCAGCCCTTTTTGCCATAAGAATGGCCGAGAGCATTCCTGTCACCTTGTTGATAGTGGCCTGACTATGGGCAAGGAGCCTTGGGCCGAGCGTGCGGAAGCTGGTCATTCTTTAGAACAGATTCCCAAGGCCCTGCTCTCATGCATTACAAATCCCGGGCTTCTTTGGAAAAATAATACTTGATCTCTAAGGTTCTCTCTGCTTGAAAATCCTGTGGTTCTGCGGCAGCCACAACATGTTTGAAAGAGCGATGCTGGCGGAGAGAGGCAAGCCTGAGAGTTTCATTTTGCCAGAGCTGCCTAAGAGGCAGACAAAGTAAGTATGAGAATAGCTTCCATTTATCCAGCACTGGCCATGGCACTGTGTGTGCGGAGGATGCTGGACCCAGGAGCTCACTAAGTCCCCTGTGGCTGTGAGGAAATTGTGTAGCCTCATTTGATGATGAAGAGACTGAGGTTCTGGGGGGCTAATGCATGTGGCTAAGAGCATGGAGTGTGTAGTCAGACCATGCGCTCAGGCCTGGCCCTGCCTTGTACGAGCTCTGCAGCCATGGCAGTTATTAACCTCACCGGACCCAGGCCTTCTCATCTGTTGAGTGGGGATACTCATAGGACCAAAGCCATAGGACGTAATTCATGCAAAATGCTATTAACATAGTGCCTGCACATAGCAGACCTTCAATAAGTGATGCTTTTATTAGCAAAGGATCAAGCTTCACGTATGGACACCACATGGCCTTCTCGATGAATCATTGATGCTTCAAGCCTAGTACTGTTGTTTGCCTTTAGCTAATCTAGAGTTATAACCAGGACCTTGACCTTGAGACTCCAGCTGCTTCCTGTGGGATGGGCGAGGCAGAGGTTCTAGAGCCAGGCCTGGCCACTTGGACACTTCTCTCACCTGGCTGCCCACCAGCCCTGCCTGCAACAGTGAGGGCCTGATTTTATCACTTGGATTTCATCTCATTCATGCAGTGTTTCCTGCACTGGCTCCTGGTTAGTTCCTGTGGATTTCAGTAGGTATATTGAAATGAACATATCAACCTGCAAAACTTGAGTTAAAGAAGCCAGACTCTCCAAGGGCCATCAAGTATTAGCATTTCCCAAACATGTTACCCGTCTTTGACCATGGAACCCCTTTTTCCTCTAGAATAGCTTGCAGGGCTAGTGCTCCATGGAACATGCATTTGGAACTGTTCCCCGCCCCCTCCAAATGCAGCCAGCAGAGGGGCAAGAGCGAAAGATGGGAAATCAGAGAGGATGGGGATTTGGAGTAAGGGGTGGCTGGGGATGTGGAACAGGTAGACAGAATCTGGATATACTTCAGAGGGAGGACCAGCAGGACTTACTGATCGGAGCTGCTTAGTAAAATATTTGGTGTTTGAGGTCTGTTGAACTGAATATGTCTCCTTGATAACATGTCAGCTTGTTGGGAAGGGAAGAAGCTGGTTGCTGAAGCTGTCCTTTGGTTTGCATGGGGCGCTGACCCATACCTTCTGATAGTCACTGAAGGGACTGCTGGCTTTGACCTTTAGTCTTGGGCATTAGACTTTTTGGGGTGTGAGGCTCCTGTGTCTTTCCCTGTTGAACTCCTTTCCTTCTTTCCTCCCACCCCTTTTAAAATGAGAAAACCCTCTGCCCCCTTTCGGGGATATCACTCTGTCATCAATGGAGTCTGAGCCATGCATCCTGAGACAGCTTTTCCAGTTTGCAAAGTTTATTGTTAATGAAAAGTGCACACCAGGCTGAAATCCCTGGCAGGAGCCGGAGCTGCAGGGTACACCGAGGCCAGCAGCCGCAGGAGCAGCCAGTTTTATCTGGCTGTTCTCTCTCTCTCTCCTCCTCCCTGCCCTCCCCCTTCCCCTTCGTTTTATCAGAGAGGTTTGGCTGGACTTGAAGGAGCCAGAAAGGAACTGGAACTGGATGGGGCCTGTGCTTCTAGCTGCCAGTGACAAGGTGTGGGAGGATCATGGACCCAGGTCTAGGGCACATTCCAGTTTAACTCAGTCCTGTGTGTGTGTGTGTGTGTGTGTGTGTGTTTCAGTAGTAGGCCCTGGGGTCCAATAATATTGATACCAACAATAATAGCTAACATAGAGTGCATGCCATAGGTGCAGGCCTTGTTCTAAGCATTTAACATACCTAATACCAATAAATTCTCCCAGCAGTTCTAAGAAGTACTAATAGTGTGCACATTTTACAGTTGACTAAACTTAGGCACAGAGAGGGCAAGCAACTTCCCCAGAGTTACACAGCAAGTAAGAGGCAGCTCCAAGAATTCTACTTAGTAGAGTCTGATTCCAAAACTATAGTTTTTACTTCTCAAAGTCCAGGCAGAGGAACTGGATATGTAAACCAGCAAATAAATTCATATAGTTTGAAAGTCCTATGATGCAAGTATGGATTAGTATAGTGAGAGGCAGAAGGAATGCAGAGTGGAAGCCGTATTTGTGTTCATTCTTGACTGATGAGTTGGAGTTTCTCTGGCAGGGAAGACAGGTAGGAAGGAGTAAAGGGAGAGGGAAGAGCATAGCGGTGGGAAACAGCAGTGTGTGTGTGTGTGTGTGTGTGAGATTGTGAGAAACAGCAAACAGTCCTGCATTGGTGGGCATAGCAGCAGTGTGTGTGTGTGTGTGTGTGTGTGTGTGTGTGTGTGTGTGTGTGTGAGAGATTGTGAGAAACAGCAAACAGTCCTGCATTGGTGGGCATAGCAGGCTGGTCAGGAATTGGTAGAAGCTGATGAGATTATGGAGGAAGGTAGGCAGAGGTCCTTCAGGGAGAGAGGGTCTTAGGTAGCCTACAAGGGTTTTTTAAATTTATTTTTTATTTTTTTACAACTTACCGCTTGGGAGTGATGGATTTAAAAAAAAATTTTTTTTCATTTTGTCTTTGCTCAAAGGACATTTTATGTGAAAGCCCAAGATATGAAACATAGCAATGGAGTACCTTTGGCTGAGGCTGTGCTGAGGACCAAGAGCCTGTCCTTTGAGGTCTTCCCTAGCCCAGCCCCCCAGGCATCTTCCTGGAGCTCCAGGAACTCAGATGAGCAGAGCTTTGAACATCACTGCTTGAGAATATCAGGGTTGGAAGAGAAGAGCACTTAGTGATATGTAATTATTTAGTGTAATTGTCCTCAATGCATTTAGGAAGTTTTGAATTCACTCATTTAGTAAACATTAATTGAGCCCCTATGCCAACTAGCATGCTGAGTGCTGGGGACACATCAGTGAATGAACTAGAACAACCCTCATATTCTAATGGAGGAGACAAAATAAACAAATACATAGAAATGTGTAATGCAGCTAAAAAGGGTCCACAGGATCATGTAGGACCTGGTGGGCCACATTTGGAACTTTGGGCTTTATTTTGAGTGAGATGGAAAGTCTGGAACGCTTTGAGCAGAGAGGTGACAAGATCAGCCACCCACTTTGCGTCAGAGTAGCTTATGAGGTCTGGGTAGCTGGTCCATATCAAATGGTTAATAAATAGTAGTTGTGTTTATTACCCATTTTCCCTTCTATAGGGGTGCTGTTCTAGTGGGAGGGGATTGTGAGAATGACCCTGGTAAAGGGAGTGGAGTCCTCAGAAAAGCAAGGCATGCTCCCTTAATTCGACAGTGGTGTGTCCAATAACAATAGTGATGATGTCACTGTCCACCTGGCTGGAAAGCTGGCCCGACTCCTCGTGATGTTGAATGGCCCAACTTGTGTCCTGCCCTGTAGCTGTTTGCCCCGCCCCTCACTCAGTGACATCTCTGCTGTCCCGGTCATGAGTGAGATTGTTGGATAAACAGGGTGTTTGTGTATTGCTGTCCCCCCCCAGTGTTTGAGAACAAAGATAAGATTGTGATCATCATGGAGTACGCCAGCAAAGGGGAGCTGTACGACTACATCAGCGAGCGGAGGCGCCTCAGCGAGAGGGAGACCAGACACTTCTTCCGGCAGATCGTCTCGGCCGTCCACTATTGTCACAAGGTACCGGCCGGGCCAGAGCTTTGGCCACAGATGGTTTTTATGGCATCACATGGTTTTGGTTGTTTTTTTTTCACATTATGAGGGTGGTGTCTGTTCACTGTAGTACTTATGGAGAAATTATAAAATGAAAAGATGGAAATTATCCAGTGATAACCCGTCGTTGACATTTTTATTTGTTTCTTTCCAATCTCCTTCCTCCTCCTCTTAACATTTGTTTTTTATTTTAACTTTTTATTTTGAATAATTTTATATTTACAGCAGTTTCCCAATAGTACAGGGAGTTCCCATATACCCGACTCAGCTGACCCTATGGTAACATCTTACCATGATAAATTACTGTAGTAGGAATGTATCAACATTCGTACGTTGCATTAACAAAACTTCAGATTTTATGTGGGCTTTGCCAGTTTTTCCACCAGTGGCCTTTCTCTGTTCCGGGACTGCATGATTTTTACATAGTTTGTGTCTTGCTTTTACACTGAGTATTTTAATCTAAACATTTTCCTATGTTCCTGAAAATTCCATATAATTATTGTGAGTTTTGGACATTTAGGCTGGTTCCAATATTATAAATAATGATCAATATCTTTAGACATGAACCTTTTCCTCTCATTTGAATGATTTCCTTAAGAGAAATTCTAGAGGTGGACTTATTGGGCCGTGGGTTCTGAACCTTTCTCTGCTCTTGGTATCTTCTGTTGCATCGATCACACCCACTTGGGTTACCTGTAGATGCTCATATCCATCCTCTCGCAACACACCTAATGGCATGTGCTCATAATATAGTTTCACCACTGTTGGTCTCTGGAGTAGGACATTAAGTCCCCAGATAATCCCAAGCCACGGTCTAGCCATTATAGTTATTAATCATCTTATTTATACTTTCCCCCAGAGTTATTATAATCATTCACTCTGAGGACAGCAGTGACTTGAATCCAACATGGCATGCAGAACATCCTCGGCTTCTTCATACAATGACTGCACCATGGGGTCTCCTGGGTTGTCAGTTTATTGACTGGACTAATTAGAAAAATTTCACTCAGATGTCAAACCCGTAACCCATGTGAACATTACTTGACTTCTTCTTGCTGACTCAAGGCCCTAATGACTCAGATCATACAACATTTTGTATTTCATGATCCAGCATCATCAAAAAGCATTGCAGATGGTATTTTTTAAAAATGATTTGAAGTGTCTGAATACTGTGGGTCTTTATTAGACTAATTTCATCTTATGAAAACCCGGAATGCAACAGTGTCAACCAAACTACTCCCAATATTTAAAAGAAAGCAGAACCAGGTACCTTGTATTTCGTATCTTTCCTCTAGGAGCCTGGGTTTGTACATGGCCTTTTCATCTCTCCTGTCAGTGCTCTTGTAGATGTTAGGAACTGACAAATGGCAAGGAGAGTAATAAAGAACCAACTGGAAACAGGCAGATCTAAACTAAGGAAATCTTGACCGAAAGACAAAGAATTTCTAGCCAGTTCATTTGCTTAAAAGAGTAGCTTAGCTTGTAAATGTCCTTTATACTGAATAATGTCACAACTTTCTCCCTGCTAATTACCTGCCCAGCCCCAAATAGTTGCTCCTTTCAGTTCCACTCTTCTTCCCGTGCCCACCCACCCCCTTAAAAGATCATTGGGTTTTAGAAGAGCACTGAGCAGGCCAGTTGTTACTGCTGCATAAACCAACAGCCTGTTGGCTGATGACCCCTTTTCACCTTTCACCTTGGCTGCTTGTCATTGCGGCTCAGCTTTCAGCCCTCCTGGCGTTTGCCTGAATGGAAAGGTCACCCAGTATGGCAGCGACCTGCTCTGGTCAGCCCAGTGGCTACGGTCTCCCCAGCCTCTCCCACCGTCACCTTCACCTTCACCTTCACCTTCACCTTCACCTTCACCTACACTGAGTCCTGCCAAGCAGAGAGGGACTTGAAAATCTTCCCTCCAGGCTGCTTTGGAAACACCCGTGGTAGCACCTTTGTCATCCCCAGAACCGATTGAACCAGGCTTCTTTCCAGCACTGAGGAGGCAGGCAGACAGGCAGACAGACAAGCAAGGTCTGTGGGCCCTGCATTCTGAGTCCCCAGCAGAGAAATCTGCTTCTTCCCTGGGAATCACATCACAGACAGACATTGTTCGCCGCCGCCTGGGACTGGGTTGCTTTCACACAGTGGAATGACATTCCGACAAAGGATCCCCCTGCTGTTTTACAGGCTCTGGGGGAGAATGGATTCCAGTCATTTTTCCCTTAACCACACAGCAAGTGACTAATGCTCTGCTGTCCCTGGTCTCTGGGTCTCTGGCGGGAGCTTCATGACAGTGAGAGCAGCCCTGAAGGATGGAGGCGAAGACCACCGGGCGGGTGCATCCTTCATCTGTCAGATGCTTCCCTTTGCTCGGCCTCCGCCTTCCTCTTTCTCTCATCCCCTCCTCTCCCATTCAACCCCTGCCTGTCTTCTCATTTCAGAACGGTGTGGTCCACCGGGACCTGAAGCTGGAAAATATACTGCTCGATGACAACTGCAATATTAAGGTAAACCTCTTGCCTCGATGATTGATATGCAGGGCCTGGGGATGGCATCCGGTGGGGGTTTAAGCTGCTCTAACTAGAGCCTAGAAAGAAGGTGGCCACTTCCTTCCCTGGCAGGCGGGTGGGGAGCGTCACTGGGCTTGAGTCCTCAGTTCAGTTCAAACAATTAAATTCAGTTAAGCCATTTACCCGTGTTCAAGAATGCCAGACATGCTTCTTCATGCTGGGATAATTAGGTGACTAAAATACAGTCCCCATCCTCAGCAAGTTCACGGTCTACAATCATTACAATCATTGCCATAAAAATACTCATAACAGTAACGCTTTCCATATGTATTTCAAGTCATATTTGTCTGATAGCACTTAAATTCGATCTTTACAAGAACCCTAGGAGACAGGTACTCTTATTTACATCATTTCACTGATAGGGAAACTGTGGCACAGAGAAGTCAAGTAACTTACCCAAGGTCACACAGTGGTAGGTAGTGGAGTTGGGGTTTGAACCCAGGTCTGTCTAACTTATAAGCCCAAGTTTGAACCACTCTGTGTGACTTGCCAGCAGGGCCTCAAGTTATTTTAGAGCTGGGACTCTTTCCCTGCCACTTCTATCACTCCCACCCTGTGTCTCCTGCTTCTCCCTCCCACCCCTGAGACCTGCCGAGGAACTGGGAAGCTGAGCGAAATGGTGGTGTTCGCTGCTGGGAAAGAGCATCCCGTCAAGTGATGGAGTTTACTTTTATAGAGAGTATTATTGCTGGCTGCTGCTGGAGCTGGAGAAAGTGCTCCTGGCCAATAGGGTTCAAGTGCCTCCTGCAGAGCGCTCCGAACGTCCTTTTGATCATGTCCGCAAAATAAGCAAACACGGTTTCAAAATAAACGGAGCTCGCTGCATGGGTTTCATTATGAAATGGCCTTAGTACTCCCGGCATCAGGGGATCCCTCTCATTAGCCGCTGGTGATGTTAGTGCCTCCTCCCCCGTCCCCAGACAAAGCCTGGGAATGACCTTGCATCACCCTCTCTTGTTGCTGTTGCTCTAAGTTGAGGGATACATCACCGGGTGACCATCTCCTTGCTTAGAAGGACGGCGTTGCTTTGGCATTTCACCACCATTAGTCACCATTGTCCTTCGAGAGGCCTCTGGAAGCCATGTCCAGTGACATCTTGTGCTGGTGGGTGGGTGACCGTGGTCACATATTTCTCTGCGGTCCTTAGACTAAGGAGGAAACAGTTGGTCAAGGCAGTTTTCTCCAGGAACAGGACAGGAAATCTCAGGGCCCCTGCAGTCTGGCAAAGTGGCTGGAGTGTTAGAGCAGGAGACTAGATGCAGGGTTAGAAAATTCCATCCTGTGTGGCTCGCTGGTTCCTTGACCTCGGGCAATCCGCTTCACCCTGTCTCCTCAACTATAAAACGGGGTAACAGCAATGCCCACAGGCTTGTTTTGAGGAGTAAACGAGAGACTCTGTGTTTAGCTTTAGAAACCGCCGAGCACTGTGCAGCGAGTCAAGGTTAAGAGCAGTGGCTTTGGATTTGGATAGCCTGGGTTTGAATCGCAGCCCTGCCTGTTACTAATGGCGGTATTTGGGATAAGTTACTTGCCTGTTTGTCTCAGTTTCCTCATTTGTCCAATAGGGTTGCCAGGCCCTGTTTTTGACCATTGTTGTTGGTTTGCTCATTTTATCAATGACTATTCCCCGAGCAGTTACTGTGTGCTATGCGCTCTTCCCAGTCCCGGGGTGTCAGTGACCAACATGAGCACTAGATAATACCTAGTCAAAGCACTTAGCACTTAACTCTTCATGTGCAAGGTGCCTGCTTAAATGCCTGGCCACCAGAGAGGAAGCTGAACAGGAAGTCAGTTGCTCTGAAGGGACCTGGTGGTCAGCCCGTGGCTAGAGAATTGGGTTCTAGTTTGAGGGACACAATCTAAGGGTTTGTGTCATCCACCCGATAACTTCCTCTACAGGTTCTTCCTCCCACCTGCCCCTAGAGCTCTCCAAACCAAATGTAGTCTTACAAGGCCTGGAATGTGATCCTGTCACTTGGGGATTGGCTTCTGTAGTACAGTGTGACCTCTTGCTCCCATGATGTAGTCCCAGAAGTGATAAGGCACATAGCTTCCTAGGGAGTCATAGAATTGCCCAGAGGAAAAGAATGGTTAGAATCTGGAAAGCAATTGTGCTGGGAACAATAGGCAGGAGCCCAGGAGAATGGCTCACTGGCATAAGCAATAGTGCCATGCTGTTGGTTCTCGCAGCTCCCAGGACCAAGTCCTTCTATCTAGGATCCCTGTCCATTAGGTAGGGAAATAGCAGACACAGAGCATATTATAGAAACTAAGGTTTTGGTCATCTCTTTTTCTTTACGGTTCTTAATCCTTAAGGTTCTCTATTTCTGGCATTTACCAAGGGAAAATACACACGCCTCCCCAATAGAAACCAAACCTTCCCAATCTCGGACACTAATCCTTCCTTCTGCTTATTCAAGGAATGCTGCTGGGATCTGAGACTCCCACGGCTTGAAAGGACCTTGAGGGTCATTTTCAAACTTTTTTTTTAATGATTATGGTCTGGAAAGTCTAAGTGATGTGCCCAGGATCACTCACAGTGAATCGGTATAGACTAAATGATTGTCTTTGTTTCCCTGGAGTGCGGCACGGTGCTTGTCACACAGTAGGTGCTCCTAAGCTCTTTGATTTGGAGTGAAGGGATGACAGCCTGGATTAGAGCTCACATGTTTGACTCCAGACAGATTCTCTCTTCATCATCTCACACCCACTCCCAAGGTTTTTAAAAATGTGTTTCAGCTGGTGTTGATTTGTCTTCCGGCTGGATGTGCTCAGCTCTTCCCGAGTCAGCATTTTGCTGAAAACAATACTTATAAAGGGCACTTCTGATAAAGGCAGTCAGGCACAGACACATGGCCACAAGCTGGCTGCCTCCAAGTTCAAGAGAGTCCATGTCATCGATGTCTGGACTGGGGGGCCATTGACACCGATGGCCTGTTACCAACCAGTGGGACATGAGCAGTGAGGCGCCTCTTGGAGCTCCCTCCTGTGTCTCTGCAAATGTGGGTGCATCTTCCGTATTCCAAGGGTCGAGGGCTGTTGCCCAGGAAGCCTGTAAAAATGCTACGGTTGAAACTTGTCACGTGTCGCTGCAGCTTTGGTGTGAGCCATGCAGCTGTCCCTCATCCCTTCCCTGCCTGATGTTGATCTGCAAAGAGCACATCTGGCACTGGGAGTTACTTATCTGGCCACTGCCAGAGGGTGTGGCTTCTAAAAATATTCACGCAGTCGGTCAGCAGAAAGAATGAGAGCAATGTGCTGCTTTGGGTTGCATTCCGTACTCCGAGGAGAAACACGTCTACCAAAATAGACACCCAGTGTAGCATTAATTCCCAATTAATAAAAACGGGCCAGATTCACATCCCATTCTCTGGGAGAACGGAATGCCGCCCATTCCCATGGGAGGCTCCTGTGGAAACGCCTTACAGTGAGCAGAGGTCCAGGCACCAGGGTCAGCTGAGCTCCTCAAAGAGGGCTGAGAATTTGGTGAGCCCCCAGCACTGGGAGTAGAGGGGCGTCGGGGAAGTGGCCTGCTGCCCCTGATGACAATGGAAACCCAGCTGCTGGGGATGAGACGAGAAACTTGAATGGCTTTTATGGGGCCGGATAGAGGCCTTGGAGGCTTAACAAGACCAAGGAGGCAGCTAAGGATCTGCGCCTCAGGGCTTTGTGAGAATGTGCATTGAGGCGTGAATGAATCCATTCATTTGTCTGTCCATTTATTGAGTGTACACATATATATCCATGCATGCTTGCATTCACTCACCCATTCCTGCACTTACTCATTCAGCAAATTGAGTTTCTTCTGTGGGCAACGTTCACTCAATCACAAATATTTACTAAGTTCCTACCTGGTACCTGGCCCTGTGCTGGCTGCTGGGGATTTACTAGTGGACCCGATGGCTGGGTTCCTGTCGTCTTGGAGCTCAGAATCTAGCACATAAACCATTGGTCATGATGAGTCATGAGAAGGACACCGAGGTGAATGAGGGCGGTAAGGTACCTGCCCTAATGGACTTGGAATTTCAGTTCAGGACGCGAGCAATTCACAAAGAAATGTAAAATGTAATTGCCTGGCAGTGAAGAAATTTTTTGTGCAGGGTTAAGTTAGAGAATGGCAGGTACTATTTTAGCTTGGGTGGTCAGAGAAGGCCCCTTGCATAGGACTCGAACTCCTTAAGTCTACCAAGCCTTCTCTGGATTCCTGGCCTTTGCACACATGGTTCCGTCTGCCTAGAATGCTCTTCCCACGACTCTTTGCCTGTCTGTTCTTTGAGCACCTTCTTCTAGGAAGCCTTTTCTGATCCTGTCCCTTCGCAGGACTGGTGGCCTTGCTATGTGCCTCCTAATGCCTCCTGTGATATGCTGTGGGAGTGCTGAGCAGGGAGTGGTGGGTCTATCAACTGGATGGACCAGGAAGCCTTTGCTGAGGAAGTGTTGATTGAACTGGGTTTTGAAGGCTAGGTAGGAGTTCAACAGAAAGGAATGTGATGGTCTTTTAAGGGGAAGGAGCAGCAAGCACAGGAACAGGGCATGGAGGCCAGGAAAAAAAGCAACCTTTATTGAGCCCTTGCTAGAAGCCAGAGCCCAGAGCCAGGCCTTCCATGTGCCTCTTTCGTTTGGTTCTTAGAAAGCCTCCACTGGGATGGGTCTGATTACTCCCATTTTACAGACAAGGAGGCTCTCACAGCTAGGTGATGGGACTGGCCACAGCTAAGGCTCTTTGACTCTGAAGACCAGGCACCTGATAATTTCGACCCTTCACTGCTCCAACCCAGGTTTCTTAAACCCACAAAAGCATCACGAGGACACCTTTTGGTCCTTGCCTCAGTTGACCTCACCTCGTCTTGTAGCAGCTCGTGTCCAGCTGTCCCTGGGAGAGGCCCTCCAAGCACAGGGACAGCAGAGTCAAATGTGTAGTGAGCTAGGGGAGGTTGCTCAGCAGCGTCCTGAGAGGCTGCTTTGGAGGCGCCCTCGGTTAAGAGCGTCCCCAGGTCGCATGGAGTCGGTCCTTTCCAGTCTCTCCTGTGAGGCCGTGTGAGCTTAGATGTTTCGAAGATGAAAGCCGACCCCTTCCCTGCTGCTCAGGGTTCCACTGCTCACCTCCACTTCCTGACAGCTCGGGAGCGAGGCTGTCGTGGGGAAAGCCACGGCCATTAACTCCACGCCAGAAAGGAGCTGGGGAGCATATATTCCTCGACGGGGCTGGGGAAAGCTGTTTCCTCCACAGCCACCTGAGAGCAATGACTCCTCTTTACGTGGAGCTCTAAGCAAAGGCTGCTCTTCTTCCGCCTCTCAGGCCAGCCACGTCCCCGCCCTGGGCCTCAGTTTCCTCATCTACAAAATGGGGATAATGATGGCGCCCTCGTCATAGTGTGGTGAGGATCCCACACATTAACACATGTTGCGCTCACAGAACGGCGGCAGCAAGCTCACATGGTCAGTGCCATTGCATCCCATTTCCCAGCGCAGGAAACTGAGACTCAGGGAGGTACAAGGAGTAATTGCTAACGTTTACTGAAGGCCCTGTATGAAGGCGGCATGCTTTCCATCGATCATGTGTTTGATTTTGCATCAGCCCTGTGGAGTCGGTTGCCTTATCACCTCCCGTTATACAGATGGAGTGGCTAATGTTTGGCATATCTCCTGGGGATCTTGTTAAAATGCAACCTGACTCAGTAGCCTGGGCTGGGTGGGGCCTGCAGTTCTGTTCTGAGCTGCTTCCAGTCGGTGCCCATGCGCTGGTCCCCAGGCCTCCGTGGAGGAGGGAGAGGTTGACTAATGTGCCTAAGGTTAGAGCTGGGAAGAGTTGAGGCCGGGATTTGAACTCAGACACTCAAGCTCTACATCCCTTACCTTTCCCCTCATGCAGCGCAGCCTCTCATGCTTATTTCAGGAATGAATGATGACTATTCTTTGGCTCTTTCATGGACAGTGGCATAGTGCTTTCAGTCCTGTGTCTTGCCTGGCAAACAATGTTAAATAAACCGAGTCAGCAGCATTATTGTCACTGCTGTAATTTAGAGTCGCTGGGACCAGGATTATTTCAGAGCTTTACATGTGTGTTCTCTGATCCTCACAACGCCTGCATGCGGTGGGGCCTGTTTTTGTTCCCATTTTGCAGATGAGGAAATTGAGTACCTTGGCAGGTCCCACCAATCACCTAAACCTCTGATCTGTTCAGTCCGCTGCATTTCCCCTTAGACACAGCAAGTGGCTGTTAGACTGTCGCTTGTATTGTTATTGTCATCAGCATCCTTTCAGCAGTTAATCATCAGCGAGCTGATACTTCCTTCTTCGTTGGGTGAGCTCACAGTCATTATTCATCTGATTGAGGGTAATCCTTTTTTCAAATGATAAAATATATATAGCATAAAGTTTACCATTTTCAGGTGTCCAGTTCAGTAGCATTAAGTACATTCACATTGTCCTGCATCCATCACCACCACCCATCTCCAGAACTTTTGTGCCCTCTCCAACTGAAACTCCATACCCTTAAAAAAAAATTCCCCATTCCTTCCTCCCCCAGCCCCTGGAAACCACCATTTCACTTTCTGCCTCTGTGACTTTGACTACTCTGTGTCACATATAAATGGAACCATATACTATTTATCCTTTGGTGTCTGGCTTGTCTCACTTAGCACAGTGTCTTCAAGCTTCATCCGCGTTGTAGGGCGGTGAATTCTTTTGAAATGTGAATAGTCATTTCCTAGTTTATCTTTCTAACTCTGACTTTCATCTGGCAGGGCACACTTCTAGAAAAGCTTGATAGCAACAAAACTCCAAAAGTTAAAGACATGAGTGTTGACTTCCCAGTTTCCTTTTCAGAGTCCACGCTGAACTGAACCCAGTGTGGGGACAGAGGGTGGTTCTGAACCAGGATGGGGCAGGGGAACCCTCCGTCACCAGGAAAAAAACACAAAGTAGTTACCTTTCTCCAAAGGAGACCGGTGTGTCAGCAAAATACCACTGTAAAAGCAAAGCCTAGATGCCTCCTTGGTAGAATCACCCTCCGTACACAACTGACGGACGCTCTGATGCAGGGAAAGCACACAGATTGGCACACAGACGCTCGTGGGGTTGTCTGTCTCTGTGACCTTCAGCGAAGCTTTCAGTCGTCTGACCTCCACTTGCTTCGCTTACAGAACGAGGGGTAGAATTAGCTCACCTCTTAAGGCTCTTTCAGGTTGAAACCATTTTGGAGATTGGGTTACTTTTGCTTTATTATGTTCAAAATCATTATTCCCCATGTTATAGCTTTTCCCAACCTCTTTCCTTTCACTTTCTTCTTTTTTGCCTTTTCCTAGTATCTCCTGTGCTGTTTTACTTAACATTTTTATTTCAATTCATTTTTTAAAATTGTATTTATTTGAACAAGGAGCCTTATGGAATTCCCTTAAATGGAAAACCAGTGTCCTGTTGAGTATCGCGAAGTTATTAAAGTTACCTAGATGGGTGAGAGTGGGAAGCAAATACTGATCGAGCTTCAACTCTGTGCCAGTTACTGTTCTAAGCCCTTTACATACTTCATGTTATTTAATTTTTACCATGACCCTGTGGGGATAGATCCTGTTTCTACCTCCATTTTACAGATTAGAAAACTGAGGCTTCGAGGAGTTTCAGAGCCAGTGGCCACTTTCTGTAAGCTCCACGGGGCATGGCATCTTAGGGCCACAGCCCAAGTTTAAGTGGCTCAGGGTTTGAGAACTGTGTGTGCGTGTGTGTGTTGGTTAATTTCGCTTTTCCGCTGAAGTGCCAAGAACATGGACTAATCTAGATTTCTATTAATCTTCTGTCAGCGGCCCTGACAGTTTTACTGGGAGAGGCTGATAAACATCAGTCTGTGAGGATGGGAGTGAGTACAACATAAACACACTCTCAGAGGGCTGCAAACAAAGCAAGGATGCCCAGACTTGGAGAACTCCGGTGTGGGTGTGTGCGCACGGGGATTTGCACATGGAGCTGGTGGGTGCCTCTTGTGTGTGTGTGGGGAGGTGGTGGAAGCTCGTAGGCGCCCCAGATGCCGCCGACATTGCAGGGTAAAAAGGAACGTATTTTCTGCAGGATGCGCACTTGCTGTGACAGTTCCTGCCGTAGTGGCAGACAGCGAGGACACAGCCTGCGACTTCTCCGTATGTCCCAGGGCTGTAGCCATTTCATCTCTCTTCTGATTGACAGGGCACACTTCGTAGAGCTTCCAACCAACTTCCTGCAACCAAGCCAGGCCGGGGCCTTGATAAAAAAGTGGAATTCAGGGCAATTAAGTGCAATCCGAACCCCAAGAATGCGTTCTCCGAGGGCAGTTTTTCACCAGCTACTTTCAATGGCATTCCATTCATTCGGGGCTGACTTCTACAAAATAGGCTTATTCTGGGGGCTGTGTTCAAAAGAGAGCCCCAGCGCGTTTTTGCGGTCAGGCCGGGCTGCTCTCTGGGCATGTGAATCGCTCTGCCTGTTTATAAGCCCCCAGTGGAGACCAACTTGGGGAGCCGCAGAAGCCTGCAGTGGGTTCAGCTTGTGAGGCTGGAGGGAAAGGCTGAGAATGGAGGGAAATTTTCTGTTACCTGGGGACAGAGTAACACAGAGGTTGAAAACTTTAGACACTGGTTTACATTGACACTGACTAGTTAGCTTGCCTGAGATGAACCACTGCATCTCTCTAAACCTCAGTTTCCTCATCTGTTAAGTAGTGTTTTGTTTTTGTTTTTAAATGTAGTAAAATATCCGTACCACAAAATTCACCATCTTAATCATTTTTAGATGTACAGTTCAGTGGCATGAAGAACATTCACATTGTTGTGTAAGTGGGATTTTGGGTAGATTAGATTAGAGAGCGTAAAGTGCTTAGATCAGTGCCTGATACTTGGAGTTTGTTCAGTAAGTGGTAACTAAGTCTATTATGATTACTTTGTATTATCTACTAATTATCCTGTGCTTTTCAAAATATAATGCTTATTCTACTGACAAGTATTTCTTGGGTGAGACCTGCCACCTGCCTCAGGGGACTTGGAGTCTAATAGGCAAGGTGCATTTGTATATATATTTATGTAAACATAAATGTACTAAGGAAAAGAGTGGCTTCGAGGGGGGTGCTATCCAAGAACAGCAAGATTAGGTAGAGCACTTGTGTGGGACTTGAAGACTTGAAGGTTATAAAGCACTTTTGTATTCACGGTCTCATCTGGATGGATTTTTTTTTTGTCATTCTCATAATAATCTTGTGAGCTAGAACAAGATAGGGATCATGGATTCCCATTTTCTGGCAGGTAAACTGAGGCTTAGAGTAGCTAAGAGACCTGCTACACGTCACACAAGTGGCTGAAATATGACTCCAAGCCCAGTGCCCTGAGTCTGCTTCATCTAGGGTCACAAGGTGGGCAAACTGCAGCTCTGATCAGAGTGTGGGTGGATCAGGTGGTGGTGTCAGGTGCACAGGTGAGGGTTTTCCAAAGCGTGATATGCACACCACGGCACGGTGTGGTTTTAGGTAGGCTGCAGATGAACACTTTTCACATTAACAGGTAGGCGCTTCAATATTCATCAGAAACATCAAGCCTGTGATTTTGTGGCTATTTCTCAGGCAAGTCTAAATTGAAGTGAAAATAGAGAGTCCACGTAAGGAATCATTTTAATTAAGCAATAGAGCAGGTAGTGTGCAGATGTGGCAGGACTTGTGCTGGATGCCAAGGACCACATTTGGGAGTCACTAGCCCGCCGTGCTGACTGGTCCTTTCATGAAGACCCAGGACTGGAGAGAACAGGGTGATTCAGCCGGCACACCCACCAGGTGCCCTCAGCTGCTCTAGTGCTGGGTGGTGCGAGTTGATCCAATGCAGACACTAACTGCAACGCTAACAAGCCGCCTGGATCTTGCTTGTTTTTGTAGATTGCTGACTTTGGGCTTTCCAACCTGTACCAGAAGGACAAGTTCTTGCAAACATTTTGTGGAAGCCCACTCTATGCATCTCCTGAAATTGTCAATGGGAGGCCTTACCGAGGGCCAGAGGTGAGCAGGTTGCCTATTGTGTATGGTGGGGGGGGTGGGTTTGGTGGGGAGAAAAGGCCAGAGGGCAAGAGCTTGATCCAGGAAATACTTTTTAAAAAACCCCAAAACCAAGCAAAGAAAACATTTCCTTATATGATTATAAAAGCCATAATATACACACCTGGGAGGAAAATGGAAAAATCCAGAAAAACCTAAAGGAGAAAATAAAGTTACCTGCAATCTACCCACAAAAGATAACCAGTTAATATTTTTGTGATTTTTTAAAAGACTTTTTTTCCAGTGTAAATCTTTGCATTTCAAAAATAACTGAGCCCTGGCCTATGTGGCTCGGTTGGTTAGACATTGTCCTGTGCACTGAAAGGTTGCTGGCCAGGGCATATGCCTGGGTTGCAGGCTCGATCCCCAGTAGGGGGTGTGCAGGAGACTACTGAGTGATGTTCTGCTCTCACATCGATGTCTCTCTCTCTCTTCCTCTCTCTCTCCCTCCCTCTCCCTTCCTCTCTTTCAAAAAAATTTAAAAAAAAAATCTTAAAAAAAATTAAGGTCCTTGAATATGTATATATGTGTGTGTATATATATATATATATCTTGCCTTTTATTAACTTAACATTATATTGTGACATTTTCTGAATTTGTTATTAAAAACATAGTTTTTAATGACGACACAAAGTTTTATTGTATGAATAAACAACCATAATTTAATCACTCCCCAAGATTTAGGCTGTCAGATTATTTTCAGTTTTTCCTCATTATAACAAAACAGATAAAACAAACATCAAACCAAAAACCCCCTCCCTAACTCTGGGAGTGACTGTCTTTTTGCAAATAATTTTGACAGCCTGTATTTTTTGATGAAGGAAATACATTTTAATGGTATCTTCTAACTCATGAGAAATGCATTTCTCTACATGCCTAAAGCTTTCAGGGCCATGTGTTATGTGGAAATGTTATTTTAAAAGCGGGTGATTTGTGAGTGACTATTTTCTTTAAAAAAAGATGGTCCTCTTTACAGAGAGATTTCATCCACTCTGTATTCTTTAAATAGCAGCTGTTCACTGGGTTGAAATGTTTCCTTCCAAATATTTATCTGTTTGAGAGTGTTTGGGGGCAGGGCTGGAGGCTGAAGAGAAGGGTGCCAGGAGCCTCTGCCAATTACAGTGAAGAGAAAGTCTTTCTGAAGTAGGAATGTAAGGGAGGAGCATAGGATTCCATTTACAAAACTGTAGAAACTCGACACTGTAAATTTATCACAGATAATGAATGCTGCTTTGATCTTCCAGGATCTGTTTCCGAGGTTACAAGCTGGCAGCCTGTGAACTGGCCAGCAGGCATGCTTTATTTGGCCACGTTAGTTTTTCTAAAAAAAAATTTGAACAAACATTTAATAACTGGGAGATTTCACATAAAAGTCTGGTTTCTGACTTCTCTTGAAAAACCAAAGGATCGAGCAGTGTGGGGTCCGTGTCACTTTGAGGCAGCAATTAGCTGAGGGGAGGCTGCCTGCTTAAGACGGGTGAATGGACCCTACTGTTTGTCTCTGTCCCCAACACTCTGCATTGTACCCCAAATTCTCTCCTGCTTTGTTCGTGTTTGTTGTGTGCCTGGCTCCTGTAAGCGTTTGGGTTTGCTGCCTGATCCATTTGAAAAGGAACAGGAAGGAACTGATTCCTGGATTAGGAGCCAAGAGCCCCGCGTCCCAGTCTTAACCTCCTTCACTGGGGCGAGGCCTCTCGAGAAACCATTCGGTCCTCGTGCCTCAGTATTCTCATCTGTCAATAGGGGGGGAGAGTCATCCAGATCCCACCTATTTAACAAAATTATAGTGAAGATCAAAGGAGACAGTCTGTTTGAGAAAGGCCTCATGTAGGTTGGGACCTCGGGTCTTGGTTTGAAGTGGAAATGCCCAGCTGCACTGCATATCGGTTGTCAGGCTGCCGTGGGAACCTGTCTGCCAGGTGCCAAATTCAGTTCCTGGGGTCCCGGGGGTGGCTGCTCACGCACGGAGATGCTAATGCTTTGGAAGGCCTCCGGAACCTGCTTCCCAGCCCCTGTGTGTCCTGTCTCCGCTCCAGGTGGACAGCTGGGCCCTGGGCGTGCTGCTTTACACCCTTGTTTATGGAACAATGCCCTTCGATGGCTTCGACCACAAGAACCTCATTCGGCAGATCAGCAGCGGAGAGTACCGGGAGCCCACGCAGCCCTCAGGTGCGTCTCGGGCAGGGTCGGAGGTTGAGTGCGAGCTGTCGGCTTGCCTGCCCGGGCTCACGCCTTCTGCTTCTGTTTTGGTGTCTGTAAGGAGTCTCCTGCTTTCCCATTTTCTTCCCTCCAGGTGTTTGCTTTCTAGCAAAGCTGGCTTCTTAGCTGCTTTACCCAAACTTTCCCCAATGAAAATTTCAGAATAAGCTTCTACATGGCAGGAAGGCCAGGAGTCCCGTTCTCTTGCTGTGTGAACTTGGGGCAAATCCCTGACCTTGTTTGGATTCAGTTTCTCCACTAAAAATTAAAATTTGGGGAAAGGTATTACATGAAGTCCCTTCCGGTCCATGTAGACATACAGAACACCTTCACTAGACTATAAGTGCCACAAGGGTGACAACTGTCCTTTTTTAGCACTGTGCCTTGGACAGGGGTATGGCACATGGCGCTGTTTCAATATCTGTTGCTGCATGACAGCTCTGTCCCAGCCCCCCAAACAACCATGTGACCATATCTCTGGTTCCCTGGGTTGCTAGAGCTCTCCTGGCCTTGCTTGAAGGGATTTCTCCTGCAGCTGCAATCAGATGGCAGCGGGGCCTGGGGCTGATCTCAGGACACCTCCGTGTGGGCTCTCTATCCGTGAGGTGCCTCCCCAGGCCTCTCAGTCCAGGAGGGAGCCTGGACTTCTTACGTGGCAGCTCAGGGCTCTAAGAAGGAGGAAGCAGCTGCCAGGCCTTTTTAACGTCTGTATTTAGAAGCCAAATAAGTCACTTCCACCATGTTCCATTGGTTAAAGCAATGGAGGCCATAAACTCTACCTCTTGATGGGAAAGAGCTGTGTGTGCATGGAAGGGGTCTGTACAGGAGGCCGTTTTTGGAATATAATTAACACAGATGCTTCATATGTCTACATATATGTACACACACAGACACACATAGGCGATTCTCATTAATCATACAGTTACATTCTATAAGGTCGCCATGAACACTTGTTAGTGAAGACTAAAGCATTGCTCTTCAGGGAGATACAGGACTCAGTTCCTGTGAGCCTCTGGTCACAATGCTTTTGTCAACTGAACGGTACAGACCTTGTTTTATGTATGTTTCTGTTTAAAGATACCTCGCTTGAAATATATTGTTCATCCTTTGACATGGAACTCATGGCCAGCAGCACTGTGACGCATGCCTGAAGGAAGCTTATCTAACACACATCACACAGCCTTCCTGCCCTTAGGAACTCTAGATGGCACTTCAGCACTACCCCTGGGGGCATTTTAAATAGCAGACCAGCAACAGAAGGCACAAACATGTGAAAAACATGGACTGAATAGACTGAAAAGGACACTTGGCAAGTCATGAGAGCAGAAACAAGGCAGAGTGTTGTCCTCTTGCTGGACCTCAGCTGGGAACGCACGTGTGTCTTGGGGCAATGCAGATTTTTTGCCGCTCTATAAATGTACTCAAATGACCAGGAAAGCAGCCCAAGTACTGATTTTGAGGTTACAAATACATTTTAGTGAGTAGGCGAATTTACAAGTACAGAATCTGTGAATAATGAGGATTGGCCATTGTATGTGTGTAGATAGATAGATTCATATCTTTTTATGTATATTTTTTCAATAAGCCAACCTGTTTTTTTGTTTGTTTTGTTTGTTTGTTTGAGATATTTCAGGGTCACCTCTGTGGTGTGGTCTTATTTGCCTCACCAGCTAACAGGAGCTCCTGGCACACTACAGGGGTTCAGAAAATATTTGTTGAATGACTGAGTGAACATCATCCTGTCTGTCACTTTTCAGGGGTGCAGCTCACCCCTCGCCCCCTTGCCAGGCCCTTGCCAGCTACTCCTTAGCCCGCATTAGTGGCGCCTTCCCAGGATGTAATTCAGCCCCGCTGGGGAAGCGCAGTTCGAGCTTCAAAGCCAGCTTGTAAGCGGTGAGAGTCCGTTGGTTCCTGTGGCCTCCTCGACATCCCTTTGGGGCTTTCCCCTGACTCTCTGGCAGCTGACATTTGCAAATGAAATTTGTCAGACAGGCGCTGAGCTGATAGCAGACAGATCAGCTCTGTGATCTGACAGCTCCGCATGCCGTGGCTTATGTCAGAGAGGGAAAGGAGGCGAGCCCACGGGGCGTGGCCCTCAGAGCCTGGCCGAGGCTGGCCGTGGGCATGGCCGCTTTCGCTGCCCAGGTGTGCCAGGTCTGAGCTCCTCGCCGTCCTTTTCTGCCTTTCCCTCTCTCATGAGGAGCCTTTTTCTCGCCATCTCAGCCCCAAATTTCCTTTTCCTCCCTGCACACTTTCCCCGTGACCCCGAGCACTGCGTGCTTCTACGAGCCTACCTTTGGAGGATTACAGAGCCAGAGTAATCTATCCCTGCTTTCCATTTTGGTGAAGTGATACCCACCAAAGGAATAGTAAGCCCTGCGGGGGCTGGGGCTGGATTCTGTCCCGGTACCTGGCCTTGCCCATTTTATAAAGACTGGAGTTGACGGACAGCTCAGTAGTTCATGACAGTCCTTCACGCACATGCGAGCACATGCCAGGCTGTGCTGGCACACTGCCTGTGGCTTTAGGTTCTGATGAGGCTCTTGAGGTACAGTCTGTAAGGCTTTGGCTGAACTGGGACTCCACTTGGAGTTTTCTGAAAGCGAGTGTGTCTCCTTAGCCATTCCTGGAGTGTCATCCCTGTCACAGAGCCAAGGGCCCCCATTAAGGCCTCTTCTTTCTTGACCCCTAGATGCTCGAGGACTCATTCGGTGGATGCTGATGGTGAACCCCGATCGTCGGGCCACCATCGAGGACATCGCCAACCACTGGTGGGTGAACTGGGGCTACAAGAGCAGCGTCTGTGACTGCGATGCCCTTCACAACTCCGAGTCCCCGCTCCTGGCTCGGATTATCGACTGGCACCACCGGTCCACGGGGCTGCAGGCTGAGGCCGAAGCCAAAATGAAGAACCTGGCGAAGCCCGGGGCCTCTGAGGTCATGCTGGAGCGGCAGCGGTCGCTGAAGAAGTCCAAGAAAGAGAACGACTTTGCCCAGTCTGGCCAGGACTCGGTGCCCGAAAGCCCATCCAAGCTGAGCTCCAAGAGACCCAAAGGGATCCTGAAGAAGCGAAGCAACAGCGAGCATCGCTCTCACAGCACCGGCTTCATCGAAGGCGTCGTCAGCCCTGCCTTACCCTCTGCTTTCAAGATGGAGCAGGACCCGTGCCGGACTGGCGTGCCCCTGCCAAGCTCCCCCGAGGCCGAGGTGCCAGGGAAACTCAGCCCCAAGCAGTCGGCCACCATGCCCAAGAAAGGCATCTTGAAAAAGACACAGCAGAGAGAATCGGGTTACTACTCCTCCCCGGAGCGCAGCGAGTCTTCAGAGCTGTTGGACGGTAACGACGGGATGGGCAGTGGTGTCCTGTCCCCCAGCCCCCCTGACCCAGCCAGGGTGACTGGCCACAGCCTCTCCTGCCGCAGGAAGGGCATCTTGAAACACAGCAGCAAGTACTCCGCAGGCACCATGGACCCGGCCCTCGCCAGCCCCGAAATGCCCACACTGGAATCCCTGCTGGAGCCCAGCGTACCCGCCGAGGGCCTCTCCCGGAGCTACAGCCGGCCTTCCAGCATCATCAGCGACGACAGTGTCCTGTCCAGTGACTCCTTTGACTTGCTGGATTTGCAGGAGAATCGCCCCATCCGACAGCGCATCCGCAGCTGTGTCTCTGCCGAAAACTTCCTCCAGATCCAAGACTTTGAGGGGCTCCAGAATCGGCCCCGGCCCCAGTACCTGAAGCGGTACCGGAACCGGCTGGGAGACAGCAGCTTCTCCCTCCTCACGGACATGGATGACGTGACTCAGGTCTACAAGAAAGCTCTGGAGATCTGCAACAAACTCAACTAGCTCCCGGGGTGCAGGGGTGGGCTGGGGGTGGGTACGAGGGAGGAAGGGAAGCAGTGACTTGTGCTAACACGCTGGTTACCTCTTTGCTGGCCATAATGATAGACTGAAAAGGGATTGGTGCCATCTCACTTGGCCAAGGTTGCAGCCTTGAGCCAGCACCTAGAAGGGAGAAATGAGCTCTCTGCCAGTCCTGTCACCTGCCAGTCAGAATTTGGGTCCTAATCGGCATTGGCTTTATGGCACCCCTTAGAGGCCCAGCTGTCCAAGGAAGGTGGTGTTGGCCAGCATTTAGAGGGTGGGAGAAGGCATATGGGAGAGGGAACATTTCCCTAGAAGTTGTCCAAATACTTCTGGAGGAGGGCGGGAGAGCCTGGGGCCATCTGCTTTGGGTGAGCTCAGAGCTCGCTCCTTCTCACGTGAGCAAGCTTGGTCTGACCGCGTGGGGTTGGCAAGTAGATTTCAGCAGCCTGAGCTTGAATGGGCGATCGATTGGTGGTGGCAGCTGGCTGTGCTGGTGTGAGTAGCCCAGGCACATGGGAAGGAGCAGGAGCACTCATGCCACATAGTTGCCCTCCTTGACCTGGCTAAGCCCTGGGAGTTAGGTTAAGGCATCCTGCGGGATCCGTGTCCTCTCTCAATGCTACCGGTGTGGCGTGGGTTCATTTGCTACTCTACCTTGAATGGAAGACAGGGCCTTGGTCAGAGAGAATGTCTGGACTCGGCTAAGGACTTAAGAGTCAGACCATGGTGATTTTTTGCTGCCTTTTCTGATGTCTGCGTTGCTCTTCAGCACAACTTCCCAAGAGTGGATGGGAAAAGGATGTGGTGTCAGAGGTCAAAACTGGTGGAGAACAGAGCTTGGGCCCCTCTGTGGTCCGTGCGCAATGCATGGAAATTGACCCACACCAGCAAGGGGGCAACTTGTCATTTCTTTAACATCTCAATATTAACTGGAATGCCGCCTTTTGGGTTCATTCTCACCTGCATGAATGCTCTGAATCGGATGTGATACTGTCCCTAGCCTCCAAAGGAGTCACTGGCTCACCCGTTGACCCTGTTTAGTGATAGCAGACAGTCTCCCCATCCACCACATGTGGAATCCTCAGAGGTAGGCGAGTTTGCTTCTAGGTAGTTAGTGTGTAGGTGGGATATTTGGATGAGGGAGAGGAAAGTCAGGCAGAAGGCGCTTTTTCCCCAAATCTAGGTATTCTGTGTCATGGGTTTGAACCCCTAGGCTTTTGGGGAAAGAAAGTTTCATCCTTTCGAATGAGTAAGGTGTTGGAAGAGCAGAGTGGGTTGGGAGGAAGCATATGGAAGAGGAGACATTTCCCTAGAAGTCATCCAGATGGCTCTGGAGGAGGCAGAGATGAGGTGTGATAGGACTCTTATCCTTAAAAGCAACCTAAATAAGTATTTAACTTCTGGCACCCAGATTGCAGGTGACAAGACGTCATTCCCACAATGGGACATCTTCAGATACTGGGTTTGGAATTAATGGTGTCATTTGTGAATTTGGGATGACTTCAGATTCCACTGGCCTGGGGAAATTGAAACCCTCGTCTCAAGTTGGCCAACTTCTGGTAGCCACCTAGAGAAAAAAGAAGACTAGTCTGGGAGGTATTTTTGGGAAAACCAACAGGCAATAGCTCATAGGGAGCTGAGGAAGAATTCACCTTAAGGCACTAAGAACATTAATGAGAACAAAACTGCCCTTTCCCTAAGGAGATGGCTGCCTTTCTGCCACCAGCTCTGGGGCTTTGTCATGTGCATTCCTTCAGGTCGAGCTGAGTAATGTATTGTGGGAAGCTTCTCAGTTTCCTTTCATTCAATTCCACCTCCTTCCTGAGCTCCAGTGTAGGTTCAAAGGGAAAGAAATCTGTAGGTGGCAAATTGTGTGTGGAGGGTGTGTGGGTGCAAGGAGGGCATTGTGCACCCTCTGAGCTCTCGGCTCCTTTTCTCGTTCTGTGCAGCACCCCATAGTGCCACACCTCCGGTCCTCATGCATGGCAGCCGGCCTAGCTGGTAGCTGTCGGTGTGACTTAGGTATAACACCTACCTGCTGGTTGATGTGTTGTTTTTTTCCTTTTGCCGAGTGCTTGCCTCTGTTTGGTATTTTCCAGCCTTCTAATCTTTAAATAAAAATGACACTATTAAGAAAAACTATCCCCCCCCCCAAAAAAAAACCACAACAACACACACACGCACACATGTATGTTCTCTTTTGTCAATAAACCCAGACTCGATTGTGGCAAAGACAGCCCTCCACTCAGAGGCCGAGATTCTAAGTTGAGTCCTGGTGTGCTGCTAACTAGCTGGTGGCTTCAGGCACCTGCAGAGTTTTAGGGACTAAGTTTCCCCTTCAGTAAGAGCTGGAGGGGTGGATTAGCTGGTCTCTTAGGCCCTGCCTAGTCCTGACAGTCTACTAAATCCTCTGATTCTAGATGTGATGTTGACTCTGTCTTTTCGAGGAAAACCTTGGAATAGAGGGAAAAGCCCAGAAAAGCAACTTTCTCTGCTTCCTGATTAAGCCCTACCACCCCTACCTGCCAATCCCCAGCCAGGGAGGTTGTTGCTTGATTCATTTCCACGGAATCACAAGTGAGAGACACTTTTATGACCCAGTGGACCAGGCAGGAGATTCGATGTCAGCTCTCCTGGTCCTTTCCTTGCCTCTTGGGCCTCTCAGTGTCTTAGTTTACACATCTGCCAAAGGAGTGGAATGATACTCCTTTTTACAGGTAAATTTCAAAGGCATGATCAGTTTTCAGGAAGTGCTTCAAGACCCCAGGCGAAATGAAAATGCTATGAACTCACTGAATTTCCATTCCTGCTATAAAGTGCTGCTGCTTCAGATGACAGGGAGCACTTTTCAGGGTGGGATTCAGGTGAGGGTTGCCCAGGCCTGCTGTCTTGAGTACAATGTGAATGATCGACTGACTGCTTATTGCCAAACTGGAAATGTTCTGTAGGGATTAACTGGCATGGTATCATTCCTAGAAGAGAAAAAAGAGAGAGAGAGAAACTTGACTGCACATTTTTTTTTAAAAGAAAAATCCAAGTTGTGACTTTTATTTAATTTTTTTTTTTTTTTGGTAATAAAAAGTTGACTTTTTTATTTGAATTTGTCTTTTCTTATTTATTGGTCTGAAAGGCATTTCAAAGGTATTATAATAATATATTGGTGTAATTTAATTGGTGCAACATGCTCTATGGCTCCAGTCAAAATTGGTTTTCACTCATTTGATTGGTTTGAGCCCAGAACAGCCTACAGGGGAAAAAAAAAAGCTGGATAACCACCCAAAGTGTTTGTATTTTCATTGGAAACTGATTTTTGTTTTGTTTTCTGTTTTTGTTTCTGTTTTTATTTTTAAATTAAATAAATTGCAATGAACTGAACTGGCACCTTGCTGCTTTATTTGGATGTTTTTCTTTTAGTTAAGTAAGTGACAGAATGGGTGTAAGTGACAGAAACCCACTCAGGCTGGCTTCAGCACACAAGGGGAACTTACTCGAAGTTCTCAGAAGATGGAGAGCAGTTGGCAGGGAAGCGGGAGCTGGAGATGTGGGATCGTAGAACCACGGGCCCTCTTGCTGCTCCTCTTAGCACGTCAGCTTTTTTATGCTTTCGTAGCCTGGCTTCTCCTCCCTGATTTTAAGACCCACTTTGGGTTATCAGATAACTTTCAAATTTGCATGTTCTCAGTTCTGGTTTCCCAAGCAGACTACTGACCGGTTCCTTCAACCTGGCCCAGAGATAGCAGCAGAGGGTAAAGCCACGCTCTGTGCCCAGCTCCGCTTCCCCTCCTGCCCTGTCCTCGGCGCCTCCTTTTCTCCTGAGGGCAGACAAGTCTGTGATCTGATTGCTCAGAGTCCAGGATCCACGGGCCATGTTTCCTCGTGGGAAAGGCCACTGCTCTGCCTGGAATAAAGTGGCACCTGGGTCCCATTGTGCCATCGTTCCTTCTGCGCACAGACCCTCCAGGAAGCTCTTGGAAGAGGGATGGGTAATGGGGGAGACTGAGGGTTTTGGGATCCCAGCCACAATAGCAAATGACATCAAACCCGACCCTAGAATCAAACCTCAGAGAGTCACGCTCTGTACTGAAGAGCAGTGGCAGGAGATCCACGCAAGGAAAGTCTGACTTTCCAAAGAAGTAACTTTCACTCCTTATCTGGTCTATGCCTGCTGCAGCGTTGTCACATTTAGCAAATAAAACTACAGGACAGCCAATTAAACAAAAGATTATTTTTCTTTAATATTTGGGTTAGGCTTATGCTGAAGAAAAAAAAAAGGCATTCTATATTTTATCTGGCAATCTGATGGGGCTTAATTGGCTAGATTGGGTAATAGCTGTGGTAGAGGGCTGAGGAATGGACACACACCATGGTGACCTGCCAAATTAGGACATGTCCACGCCTCTCAGTTTGGGCTGAGGTGGGAAGACTTCCAATCCCAGCTTGAACTTGATTGCTATGAAGTCAAATTGCTTCACATCTTTGGCCTCAGGTTTCTCATCTGTCTTATGGGTGTATTAATTGCTGCCTTACCCAACTCTTAACAGGGCTGCGAAGGATTGAGAGAATTTCCATGAAGTTTCCTTGAGTATAAAACTCAACGTGAATGGGAAAGCATAGTCCTGTCTTTACAGGGCAATATTCATTGACTGTGGACATTTTAATGGCAATCTGCCTGGCTTGGAGGCTCTTAATTCTTGTTATGGCCCCTGCGGCTATTAGCAAATGGGCTTGCCAGTCATTTCCAAGGTAAGGGATTAAGGGGAAACCTACTAAAAGGTGAGTCCCTTTGGAAAGACATCATTCTGCAGCCAGATAGAAGGAATAGCACGTGCATGGCCTACAGGCTGGACCAAATGTGACATGTAAGGGGCAGGGAGGAAAATAGGGGTGGCTGGAGTAGCACAGATGACATGTTTTCACCTAATAGGTTGGTGAGGTTAATGAGTGGTCACCTTAAGGAGGAAAATCGAGAGAACCTATATTCATTGAGCTTCTGCATGGTGCTCACATTATCCTTAGCTAGTGGCAAGTGGTGGAAACCCAATTCAGACCATGTTAGGTAACAAGATGAATTTACTGCTTCAGGCACAGCTGGATCCAGGGGTTCAAGAGATGTCACTGGCCTCTTTTTCACTTGCTCTCACTAAATGTGGATTTCATTCTCAGGTGCTCTCTGCATGACAGCAAGATTGTTTCTGGTTACAGGTCCTGTTAGTGTGTGAGCCTAGAGTCAGAGAGAGTCTTACTATCCCAGCATTTATGTGCCAAGGAAGCATTGTGGTTGGCTCTGCTGGGATCCTGTGCCTCCCTCCGGCCAGTCTCAGGGTCCAGGTGGAAGGACGCCCTGATTGGCCAGCCTGGACCCTGTGCCCACCCTTGTATACTTGAGTGACAGCTCCTTCTGAATCACACAGTGGGGGAGGGAAGCTCTCCCAACAGAAGGGATGGATACAGAGTCAACAAAAGAAGTTATACCTTTTGGGCCTCATCTGTAAAATAGCATTAAATCATCCCTAACTTTCAGAGTTGCTGTGAAGATTAAATGTCATAAAGTACCTTAGGGCTTGACACATAGAAGATTTTAAATTTATACAGCTCATATCAGGAAGACAATATATGTAATGCTATAAAGAGGAAATATTTTTGTAAAATCAGCTATAATGTGAGAAAACCCAGCTGAAACTTGTTAAAACACTACCAGGGCTTTATTAGCTCGTATATCTGGAATTCTAGACATAGGATGGATTTCATGGTTACTTAGGCCTAGTGGGAGAAACATAATAAACATGTAAACAAAACCCCCTCAAATTACAGATTGTAATAAGTGCTATGCAGGAAATGTATAGAGTGCAGAGATAAAGAATTAAGGGGAGGGGTACCTCTTGTAGGAAGAGTAGTCTGGGAAGGCATCTCTGAAGAGGTGACTTTTGGGCAGAGGTCTGAAGATGAAGAACCAGCTATAAGAAGAGTGAGTATTTCAGGCAACAGGAACAGTATATGCAAAGGCCCTTGGGTCTTCAAAACAGAGCTTTACAGGGTTAAATTCTGGTCCATTGGCTTAGGACAACCATGGTCAGGGAGTGTGGTGTTTTGCGAAACAGATGTGGCCACGTTCTGATGTGGACTGGCTGCAATCATGTATGACTTGGTGTGCCCTTGATTACCAATGGCTGCTTCCTTCGACAGGTGGTCCCCAGACGAGACATACCATGACGTGCATATTTAATGAGAATATGTTTCCACTGCAGAAATTCACTGCCAATTTATTGAAATTTATGGAGAGGATGTTTTTAATCCACAGAATCATGCAAAGTTTGGGACATGGAATGGAGCAGTGGCGATGCTCTGTAAAGATCAGAAAGTGCAGACTAAGGTTTCCATGTCACAAAACCTGCCCCATGCTATCCCAGCTGTCTGGTTCTAGTAGGGAATTGTGTGGAAAATTTGCAATCAATTGTGTTTTTAAATTTTGACAATTATTTTTCTGCTGATGAAAAATTGACTGTCCATTTCTACCTGACTGGGAATATCCACTGTTTTTTGATCACCTGGTCCCCCTTCTGTCTACTCTCTGTGCTAGTTTTAGTTTGTGAATTCGTCTGGGTAGACTATGTTATGTTAAAGTGACAATAAGCCCTGAAATGTCAGTGGCTCAATATGATCAACAATTATTTCTTGCTCTCACCAAGTTCAATGCAGTTTGGGTGGCTTTCCTTACCATGTTGTCTCCATGCAGACACTTGGAGATCTGAGCTTCTTCCATCCTGTGGTTCTGCCATCATCAGGTCTTCATTTCTAGCTGTGCAGATGAGGGAGAGAGAAAGCACAAGTCAAGGTCTTTTAAGAATCAGGCCTGGCCCGGCCGGGCTTGGCTCAGCAGTTGAGCGTAGACCTAGGATCCAGGCGATCGGGGTTCGATTCCCGGTCAGGGCACATGCCCGGGTTGCAGGCTAGCCGATCAGTGACTCTCATCATTGATGTTTCCATCTCTGTCTCGCCCTCTCCTTTCCTCTCTCTGAAATCAATAAAGATATATTTAAAAAAAAAAAAAGAAAAAAAAAAAGAATCAGGCCTGGACGTCATATGCATCATTTGTGCCCACATCCCATGTCAGAACTCGGTCACCTGACCCAAGCTAACTTCCTGGATAGAATCAGGTGGACACATAGCAGTGTCTCTGTCACGACTTATGTCTGCTTCCCATGGGAAGGACCCAACATAAATAAAAATCATTACTGCTCATTTTAACCCAGTTCTTACTGAGCTTCAGGCAGGTGTCTACCCTTTACATACATCATCTCTTTTAATGTTCCTCATGTTCCCTTATCTCCATTTCTACAGATGAGGAAACTGAGGGTTGGGAATGCACAGTAACTTGCCCAAGTTGCCCGGCTGTTAAATGTGGAACTGGATTCAAATACAGGCCCAGATGACATCCTTCTGAGCCCAAGCTCTTAATTGCTCTGTTGTGCCCCTCAGATGATCCTGCTTCAAGTCAGGCTCCTTGTTCATAAGCCCCATCCTGCCACCTCCCTGCTCATGTAAATGGTATTTTCCTGCAGGAGCTAAACAGATACCATCAGGAATGAAGACCCGGGTCCAAGTCAATTGCTCTTCAAAATACGGAAAGAGCGACTGTCCCCCAGTACCCCATCGGTTTTATGTTCTAGAAAATCTGGGTTCAGCAGATGGATTAATAGAGTCGATTCAGGTTTCTTAGTTCCTCTAGAGTGGAATGGGACAGAGGAGTGAGTCTTTCTCCATTCTGAGCACCTGCTGTGGCTCAGAACTCAGTAGAGGGACAGTAGGCCTTGAGGGGCTGGATTCCTTCTGTGCAAAGCTGTGTATTCACACTCATGCCCCAATTGTGCCACATGCTATTCCCTGTGCTGTTGGGCCTCAGGGGACCCCTCTTCTAGAGGGCTGATTGTTCAAAGCCACTGCTTGGAGCCATATGGAAGCACAGGATGCCAGGCCGGGCTGAATGAACCTTCCTGGGTCAGGCATCGCAACAGTAACTTCAGTCACAAAGAAAGGAGAGTATTGCCACACC